CTGAGCCTTGCTGCTCACATTTAACGGGAAGTATTTCTGCTTTAAAGGGATTTGTTAGCGTTTAGACCTTGTATATTTGCAAACAAAGTTTAGATCTTGTATATTTGCAAACAAAGTTTAGAACTTGTATTTTGCAAACAAACTTTAAACCATGCATATTTGCAAACAAAGTTTAGAACTTTCGGAAAACGCAGCTTAATAATGAAATTAATAACCAGAACGGCGATGAAGAAAAAAGAAATCATGTATTCGTCAACTTCTTGTTACATCGTGGACAATTCCAATTAAGACAAATCCATTAAAACATTAAGACAGTTCCAATTTAGGCAATTCCATTACGAAAATTCCATTGAATTAAATTAAACGTTTCGACTCTGGCTAGAGTCAACTTCAGTATAACTACAGGTGAGAAAAAATCAACTTAAATATGAAAGAGCTAAACAAAAGGGATCGTAAATTATGTGATAAAGAAGTACGCTGAAGGAGCAATCAGGACGTGGATAAGACAAAAGGAATAAACAACCTAGAGAAATAAACAAGAAATAAAGGCCAGACAAAGAAAATAATGTGGGAAAGAAAGTCAGCACAAAATCATAGGAATAGAGGACTGTTGGGAATTAATCGAAGGTCTGTCCTTGTCTTAATGTCTTAATGGATTTGTCTTGGAATTGTCCACGATGTAGCAGGAAGTTGTCGAATACAAGGCGTCTTTTTTCTTCGTCGTCGTACTGGTTATTAGTTTAGAACTTGTATTTTGCAAATAAAGTTTAAACCTTGCATATTTGCAAAAAAGTTTGAGCCTTGTACATCTGCAAACAAAATTTGGATCTTGTTTATTTGCAAACGATGCTTATAACTTTTATATCTGAAATTTCAAGCAACAATTTATAATTAAATGCTGTCCATACATATCTGAAGATACAAAGATATTTATTAAAATATAACGTATTGAAGTACAAACATACAAAAACAAATGATATAAACATGAAAATAAAACGGCTTAAACGATGTGATCTTGCAAATGTCAAGTGCGTATATTTCAAGTAAGAAGATTGTGCAAACATTTGATTAAATCCAAAGCATTTCGAACAAAGAAAAAAGATCCGGAATGTTATATTATTTGAAATCACAAATTGAATAATAAGTATACAGCTATAATTTATTACAGGAAAAGAAATTAATTTCTACATTATAAAGCTCTTATCGCCCCCTGTTAAAGCTCTTATCACCCCCTGTTAAAGCTCTTATCGCCCCTGTTTAAGGCAGTCTTATCGCCCCTGTTTAAGGCCGTCTTATTGCCCCTGTTTAAGGCATTCTTATCGCCCCTGTTTAAGGCAGTATGCCCCGTCAGTCAACCGTTCAGAGCAAACAAAAGGCTTAGCAACACGTTTATGATCAAGAAAACATTGTGCATTAGCCTTACGTTGCTGATTGGATACGTAACAATAGGTCTATTGTGTAATCCAACCAATGGGAATTTTAGATGGCAATCGAAATGCGTAGGCAGTTTATCATACTAAGCTTAAATCGACTTTCTGTTATTCATCTATTCATTCATATGCATTACCTTGTTGCGTTTATCGCTAGAAGGAAAGCTTGGCAGGATCTTGGTATAATAATGTAAGCGGCTCTCGTTTATACGCCACCCTTGATTATAAACCACAGCAAAACGTGCAAAGAAATAATTATAAGCCGCGGCTTGTAATGGAATAAATACGGAAAAACAGTCGTATGTCTAAGATCAGACTCTGAAGAAGAAGGGTTTCGGCATTCACTGCTTAATGGTACACGAAGAACACATACATGAAGAACTATGGAGAAACTCTTAATGTCCAAAATCTTTTACAAATTATCTGCGTCTTACAAAAAGGTCATTTTTAATTTGGTCTGTTAAGTAATTTTTAGAACCACGACCAAATTACAGAGATTTGATAGGTGAAAGCTTACAGTAACATGGTCAAATCGTAGCAATTTCGTACCAAGCTTTGTTGCCACATTCAGAGATATTTTATAATGCTTTTTCAGGTTATATTATCCAAATCCAAAATTCTAAAAGCTATGAAGTTATAATTTGGTAACTAATAAAGTCAGTATCAAAATTATCAGTATCAAATACTATAACTGGTAATATTGCTCATGATAACAACACACGACAATGTAGAAAATGGTAAAGCCAAACAAAGATATTAGCAATAGTAATAGATGACAATTACTATGCAAATATTCTTGAGGTGTAGGCCTCAATGCTAGTACTGGTAGTATTGCTCATGATAACAACAAACGGCAATACAGAAAATGGTAAAGCCAAACAATGATATTAGCAATAGTAATAGATGATAGCAACAATGCAAATATTCTTGAGGTGTACGCCTCAATGCTAGTACTGGTAGTATTGCTCATGATAACAGCACACGACGATACAGAAAATGGTAAAGCCAAACAATGATATTAGCAATAGTAATAGATGACAATAACTATGCAAATATTCTTGAGGTGTAGGCCTCAATGCTAGTACTGGTAGTATTGCTCATGATAACAGCACACGACGATACAGAAAATGGTAAAGCCAAACAATGATATTAGCAATAGTAATAGATGACAATAACAATGCAAATATTCTTGAGGTGTAGGCCTCAATGCTAGTACTGGTAGTATTGCTCATGATAACAGCACACGACGATACAGAAAATGGTAAAGCCAAACAATGATATTAGCAATAGTAATAGATGACAATAACAATGCAAATATTCTTGAGGTGTAGGCCTCAATGCTAGTACTGGTATTATTGCTCATGATATCAACAAACGGCAATACAGAAAATAGTAAAGCCAAACAATGATATTAGCAATAGTAATAGATGACAATAACTATGCAAATATTCTTGAGGTGTAGGCCTCAATGCTAGTACTGGTAGTATTGCTCATGATAACAACAAACGGCAATACAGAAAATGGAAAGCCAAATAATGATATTAGCAATAGTAATAGATGACAATAACAATGCAAATATTCTTGAGGTGTAGGCCTCAATGCTAGTACTGGTAGTATTGCTCATGATAACAACAAACGGCAATACAGAAAATAGTAAAGCCAAACAATGATATTAGCAATAGTAATAGATGACAATAACAATGCAAATATTCTTGAGGTGTAGGCCTCAATGCTAGTACTGGTAGTATTGCTCATGATAACAACAAACGGCAATACAGAAAATAGTAAAGCCAAACAATGATATTAGCAATAGTAATAGATGACAATAACTATGCAAATATTCTTGAGGTGTAGGCCTCAATGCTAGTACTGGTAGTATTGCGCATGATAACAACAAACGGCAATACAGAAAATGGTAAAGCCAAACAATGATATTAGCAATAGTAATAGATGACAATAACAATGCAAATATTCTTGAGGTGTAGGCCTCAATGCTAGTACTGGTAGTATTGCTCATGATAACAACACACGACAATACAGAAAATGATAAAGCCAAACAATGATACTAGCAATAGTAATAGATGACAATAACAATGAAAATAGGTGTATGCCTCGCTTATTGGATTAGGCATTGCAAGAGTGGTACTGTTCTACTTATATGAATTTTACAATTCATTATACAATTGTAATCTTTCTTCCCAAGATTACAATTCTTAGGCAAATAAATTCGATGCTCGAAATGTTTAAATAAACAAATGGTTTCATTTATGTTTTAAAAGATTGACCTGATAGTGGTAAAATTTGGTTAAGTGCTCAAATTTGCGCTATCAAAACTTTTTGTCTTACTTTGATTATAATTTTTTTTTAAAAATTCCTTTTGTAGTTAAACTGGTCAAAAAAGTATAAGCACTGATGGCCTCCGTTTGAAATTAGCTTCATAAATGATTTTGTTTATGTTATACAAATATATAGAATGTACAGAACTATCAAATGGTTTACTTTGTGTGACGGCAAGGCAGAAATATGTAAATGTTTTTAATAGAATAGCTCATGCTTAGAGCAAGTCTTTAATTTTTCGAGACATAAGAAAATATAGGGTATATAAAAGCACTGATAAATTCGCAAAAGAAATGGAAAATGAATGAATGGGGACGAAGATATAATTATATGAGCAAACACTTTATTATTTTGCACAAACAGCGTCACAAACAAAATTGACATACAGCTATGCGGACCAGATGCTTTTAGATGGCGCATTGTTCTCAACGCACGCCTAACACGATTAGAGGAGAATCTATGGTCAATTTTTGCTATCCTAAGAAGCTAGAAACAGTTAAAGTTTAAAGTTGTGAAATCTTTCAGCTTTTAATTGAAGTTTGTGGTTTCGAAACACATGGATTAATAAGATCCTCTTGTTGGATGCTCTTTTTCTTTCGTGTTACATAATGTGCTAATTTGATATTGTTCTGATTTCTCGTATTGATACAAACATTCATTGACGCGCATTAAGTCAATGTAGAAAATTAAAAACACGAAAATCTGAATGTTATGTTCACAGTATTCTGTAGCATCAATATTTTAGACAGTCAACTAGTTGAGAAGAAACTGTATAAAATTATTAGAATTGATGAGTTGGTTAACTCCAGGCTTATTTGTCAGATTCGAATTTTTAGATTAATTGTCAAATTGCGCAAGTCTGCTTGAATTTTGAATTAATTTTCTATCTATTAAAATACTAAGTGTAAGAAACTGACCAGCTTTGAACACATGATAGTCAAGTGCCGGCTGGTTCTTCAATTAAAATGGATACTATATTTTCAAGCCAACTCGTAAACATTACAAAAAAGCCACATAAAAGTTTATCAGCCATGTCATGTATCATAAAAAATATCGCGAATGAGCTGATAGCTTATCTGAAAATGTTGCTGTGAAGTGAAAAAATAAGATAACACCAACAAAGTCCACCATAAACAAATATATATGATTGGGTTAAATTGTGATGAGCTATTTGTTTTCAAGGTTGTTTGTTGAAGAGATACACCAGCAGGGGTATAAAAGTTAACAACAAACCTTCTTCGAATGATCTGTTTGCGAATATGGCCTTGGGTGAAGATGATCTCATCTCGACGGCTGCTGTCCCCAATAACCAACATTTAACGCGCTTTCTACCGGCCGCGTAGTGATTTTTTTCAATGCTTCCATCACAGAAATCAAAAGGAACTTGCTGCATTCTATCTTTGTTTTTGTGGCAATGAAGTGGAATAAATACTTGTTCGAGAAAGTAACGCGACACTGAAGGAGTGTTGCAATTTGATCAGAAGTACCTGCCCAGTCAGCCAGCATATGCGATGATATGTCGAGAGTACATCGGCAAGTTTTAGCGATTCTTTGAGACGGGGCTCCATACACTTGCAGCTGCTGCGAGGTTTGCCTTCGATTGTGCGTAGAATGAGATCTTTCGGTGTGGGAACAGTCAAGTCAATTAACTACTAACCTGCAAGGCACATAACAGATTTCAAGAAGATAAGTGGTACTCATCTTATGAGTGCTACAGATGAGTGGTACAGCCTCAGGCCATTTCTTTTTTCTCCATTGCTGGCCACAAGCAAGAAATTATCCGTACATCTCTTTATCGTCGTTCTCAGAAGAAAATTTCTCGGTCTCGACAACAGTTGGTTGCCCTGCCAGAAAAACGGGTTTGACATCGCGATATCTAAGTTCACCTCATAAGTAAAGCAGGCATTTGTTTCCCTTAGCGTTTTTGTTGTCATAGGCGCATATGTAACCTCGATAGAGGAAGCAGAAATAAGAAATTCAAGTTTGCTCGGCTAAACTCCTAGTTCGAGACTAAAAATCGATGCCTCAGATGAAATAGTGTCCATAAGCAGATGGCAATGCAATTAAATGCTTTTGATGCCACCCTAACAAACAAATGTATGCATTCTCTGTTCAAAGCTACGGACAAGAAGAGATTTTGCCGCTTTGCATGCCTCAGAATTTTATGTACGCATGCTAGGCCCTCGTGAAAACAGGATATAGGTGCTTTTAGGGTGCATGCTTTATTGAAACAATTATATCGAAAGTGCAGACAGTCCTTCTTTGAGTATGAATCTTTCTATGAAGAAGAATATTGGACTCTTTTTATGAATCTTTCTAATGCTTTTCATCAGCTAAATTTCTTTCACGCAGGCTTAGTGGAGATGCTTTAGAGCTCATATGCAGCTAAATTACCAAAAGAGAGATTGTAAATGGTTTCTTAAGTGTTTGGAGAAAACCAAGAGAAGGGGGATACCACAAGGTTCTGTTTTGACTCCATTTTATGCAACATTGTCATCAATGGAATTTTTCTTGTGAATAACAATAGGTCTAAAGTTATGGAGATGACACGATTATCTTTGAATGCAAATCTGATATAAATATTGTCTAGCATGAAATTTAGGCAAATACGTGTTCACTTTTGATTAGTTTATTGACAAAAATGGAAAAATGAACGATGCGATTGTCACTTTTTGCTATCTGGAAACAAATCCCCTTGCATTAGCCTAAACTCTGGTACATCATGTTTAGAACCATCTAATATAGATATGTTTAAACAATTTTTTGGTGGTACAAAACTTGAAAATTGCTTTGAAAAAAGCAAACATTTAGTAAACTAAAGCTTTTTGTCTGACACTCTTTAGAGTTTAAAACGTCAGAACATAGATTAAGCTCTAAGGTAGGAAATATATATACCCAGTTGTGGATCGAAATAGGCCAATCAGAAACATGAGCACATGACTGTAAAGGTTGACCAATCAGTGCCGCTTGCCTATTAGAATGTTATCAGTGGAATCCTAAGGTAAAAACGAACTCCTTTTGTCTACACAGTAGCGGTTTTTTCGTGCTTATGTAAATAAATTCCAAAACTGCTAGGCGGAACGACGATCGGGCTTTACCAATAATCTGACGCTGTGTCAGACGAAAAGCTTTAGTTTAGTGAATGTTTGCTTTTTTCAAAGCCATTTACAGATCATTTTCTTGGGGAGTGGCTCTGGATAAAAGTTCCAATTTCAAGCATTATTTGGACTGTTGAAGCTTTATGCAAAAGTCTAGTAAATAATTGTATGCCCTTGTCCGTGGTGTATTGAAGTATTTAAATTCGAAAACGTTAGAGATGATAATGAATGCATTCTACTTGTTTACCCTGATAGGGATATTTCATGATAAAAATTTAAGCAAAAGAGGTAGGACACAGAAATGAGTGTCAACCATTGCATTAAAAGATACTTTGTTAACTAAGCTGTATAGAAATTTAGAGTCAGACAGACTAAGATAGTCATTTGCAAAATGAGACTAAAATTGGATTTGCCAGAGAAATATAAAAAAGTTTAATATTATATCAATCCTATATTTATGGCTGATATTTTTAGAAACTTGCAACTGAAGTTTCTCCAACGTATCTAGCTTTTGTTTGTTTCTATATCAAATAACTATTTGCAAACAATCTTTTAGTTGTACAAACTTAAAAATGGATTTGAAAAAAGCAAAAAAGTTTGAGTCATACTAAAATTTTTATCTGACACTTTTCACAGTATAATACGCCAGATCATAGATCGAAAGCTCTACGCTAGGAAATTTTCTATGTTCTGACGTTTTATACTCTGAAGAGTGTCAGACAAAAGCTTTAGTATGACACAAAATGTTTGCTTTTTTCAAAGCCTTTTTTAAATATGTATTTTGTATTAAAAAGGGATCATGTTGTCATAAAGGGCCTTCTATTTTTCGTTTTAATTTTCGTTGATGGTCAGCCTTAATTAACTTAACTTTAGATTAATCTTAGATAAATAAATAATTAGCATTATTGCAATCAACTCTATTATCAGCAGGCACTAAAAACAAATTTCATGATATGACAAATGGCAACTACTGATTCAGAAGAACTTCTCTACCTTAAGTATGATTTCTGTAAGTGTTTAAAGGGCATGTGTCGTGAACATGATTGGCTAATGCAATACAATTATGTATTTTGCTTAGTATAAAGCGTGAAATCGAGGGTGAATCTCTACGGCAGTAAAAATTCAACAAGAAGAAATGAAAAATCACGAAGCAATGGAATTCCATTCCAAACGCTTTTATTTCATTAGCCGATTGCTAATGCGACATATGCCCTTTAAATCTTAATAAAGAGAAGTCGCATTTTCAAAAGAGGTTTTATTTTTTCGCTTTAACTTTTCGCTGTTGGTTGGCCTCAATTAAATTAACTTTAGGTTAACCTAAGATTAACAAATCATCATTGTTATTGCTATTATTTTCATTATTAGCATGCAACATAAACATTTTACTCTAAACCAGCATCAAATTTTTATATGCTCTTTTAGAATCAAAGCCCTTAGTATTCACCCTAGCTGATTCCTCTCTGTACACCCCCTAGAAAATGCAACTTCATAAAATTAGGCCTGAAAAAACTGGAAGTCAATTTTTCATTTCTGAGACTTTGCACTAGATAATTTTTGCCTAAAAATCCATTCCTTTAGTACCATTTTTCGGAATTTTCATCATCAATTGCTACTTTTTCATGTTTCCTTTTGAAAATCTCCTTCCCAGATGTTTTCAGTTGCAATTTTCAGTTTCATGGTACTATCAGATGAATCATTTCATCGATGCAAAATTTAAGAAGCTTTGAATCTAAATGCGATCCTTGAGGGACCCCTTTTATTTGTCTCCAACCTAGATAATCTATCCTGGGAATTCATTTCTTATTTTATCTAGATATGTTAACATGCTAACTATAGTATAGAGAGCATGTATGCAAAATGTTAATTAAAGAATTCATTATTTAATCAGCATAATTTTAATTTTGTAGTAGTTCTGGTAGCGGATAAGAGATAATCTATTCTACAATGATGGTGTTAAGCCAGGTTTTCTTATATCCTTCCGTGGCCCAAGTGTGATTTGTAATATAGGTTTCCTTAGTCAATAGAAAAATATAGCTCGATATAGCTATAAGAAGCAGAATATTTTTATTGTTCCTATATATTAGTAGTATTTATTAATTATATATTTTTTGGACTACTTTCTGTTTCGCCAAGTTTTAGGAATGGAGTTCTAGACAGAACACTTGCATAAACATGTTTGGTAATGGAGAAATTTCAAACCATTTACTTAATGTATGTTGCAAATGATTGTGTTGAAACACCGACATCCATTATCCCTGAATAACATTATCATCCAAGTGCTGCATTAAAATCAACCTTAAGGATTAGTCACTTAAGTAAAGAAGCGAAAACCTAATAATAATGCAGGATCTTTGGTAAATCTGCAAATCCTGCCAAAAGTCCTTTAAACACGCAGTTGCTCACTTGCTGTTTTGCGAAAATGAACTGTTTCTGGCAAAAAAGACCAAAAGTGAAACCACATTTTCAAGTGCAGAAACATTTTTTGGCATGCATTAAATCTGGTTATGAACAAGATTCCTGTAAAATATAATAGAAATGAAGGAAGGAGTGAAGTCTACAGGCCTTGTTTTTTCACAAGTCTCATTTTGAGGCTTATTGTTTACAGGCCTCGTTTGTCTACAGGTCTCATTATGATGAGGCCTTAAGTCTATTGGCCTCACTTAGAGGAGAGGAAATTCTTTATAGTTTATTGATGCTTATAATTATGAAACCTTTCATATATTATCAAAACGAAAGCAGAATAGCCAGGAAGGAATTATAAAGAACTTTTATGACGTTGACAAGTTATATTCTTAAAATCATTATCTCCTTGTTCGCCGTACTTAAAAATTTTCCTTCCTCAATATTAGGCCTGTCGTCAACCAAAATTTACTGGTACTGACAATAAACAAACTTTCCACATGTGAAAGTCATATGATATTAGCAAGATCTATCATGTATGTAATGCATGGGTGAGTCACCATGGGTTGAGGTTGGGTTGGCCATGGCTCCCTCGATTTCCGTTCGGTTATCTCCAAACAGATTCTCTTGGAGTTATAGGAGCAGATTTTTTAAAGTGCAAATGTATCTAAGCCCTCAATACAAAACATCTATTTTGAAAATACCCTTGAAACCAAAGTAATTTTTCCTGGACGCTTGCTCCCACCATTTTTTTATGACCACGCCGTTGATAGTGCTATGTATCTAGGTTAACTGCAATTATTAAGCCTGGGGGATAATTTTACAAGGCCACATCTACTATTGCTCGTAATATGAAAATCCATTTTTCCAACAAGTAAATTCCGTGGTCACTTATTGGGTTAAATAATGCTGCCACCCCCCGCCCCTCCAAGGATTCTTTTCTTCCAACGGTACTGTAATAGACTAGGAACAGGGTGTCATAGCAGACCATATTTCTACAAATATATTAGGAATTCTAGAAAATATAGCTGAAAATGGAATTAAGAAACACTACAGGAAAATTTTATATGGTTCTAACCTCCGGGATTTGAAACGAAGAGTCTGTTATATATGTAATTATATATAGTATTATATAGTATACTAATTGAGGTTTCTAACTTATGTCTTTATTGATTATCACGAATAAAGTTTGATTTAAGATGCCTATTAGGTAATATACACTCAGACTGAAAATATTTTTGGCATTGATGGAAAATTTTGCGGCTATAGGAAATTTAATCTTCAAATATCTTGACTAGTATTGAGCAACTTAAAATTTTTTCAAATTTTTCTCAATTGTGTTTGTTAAAGAAAAGTGTATTTGTAAGTGCCCAGAAGGGACCAGGTGACCTTGTGCATTGAATGACACAGGTAAGTGTAATTTTTAGCATTAAATTATTCAAAAGGTTTTATAAAAACAATTTTTTTGAAAAACCTTTTGGTTTGGCATCAACATTTGTGAGTGAAATGGATTATCAGGGTCTTAATAAGTTCCAAGGTTGGAAATGATCGAACAATTAACAAATGGAGGAGGATGTTAGGCCACTTAAAATTGTCAAATGTGTTTAAATCTGGTTGCTTAAATTGAAAAAAGGGAGTCGTATTTTTTCAAATTCGTAGTGTCGCAGTATGTTTCCATTAATGCTAATGTGCTCTACTTCAATTCTACATCTATCTAGTGTAGAATTGGAGTAGAACATATACTTTATAAATCGGAAGTACAAAACTGAAACAAGTACTTGATCACTAAAATTACACCATCAAATAAATCTGAATGTGCCAAGTCACATAAATCTGTTACAAATGGGCCGAGATGTGGATATATAAAGAAAGACTTTTACCAATCAGCACTTGATCTTGGTAAAATATAGGAATTGGGCCAAACCAACAGTTGCTTTAGATGGTAATGTTTAGGAAGGCGAGGGGGCCTATAGCAAAGGCCTAACAAGGACATGGAGGGAAGGGCTAATGAGTGAGGGAGCAGGGACAACAGACTTACTTCAAAGTTAGAGGGGCACAGGCAAGAAAGGGTACTACATCTCAGAAAAGGGGGCACTTTCCATAATTTCTAAAGAGGTCACGTCTTAGAAAAGGAGGACTTTTTTAAAAGTTAGAGAGTACGTAGCCCTAGTGCACCCGCGGTTTCGAAGTTCCTGACAGGGAGACGAGATTAAGTTAATTGGTTTTCACAAGTCCTTAGAGGAAGGACGAGTGGATTGGTCCATGCTTGTGAATTTGGCAAGTAAAGGTCTTAGAGAGAGCTTTTTGTCAAGAAAATGTAGGGAAAATTAACCATTCCAAACATAAAAGCAG